AATTTGAATCAAACAAATGGCCATAAGATGGATTTTTAAGGTTGTTGCATCATATTACTATACAACGGTTGCATGAAATTATTGCCCTTCGAAGATAAGAAGACCCAAATATTGGTTTTTTGAGACCCAAAAACCGATGGAAATATCATATTTTTGCAAAAACTAACCCCATTGGCTGCTTCAAGCTTGGCAGCCGCCTTGGCGCCTTTTAATGCGTTGGTTGTTTGTATTTGATGTCGTTTAGAAAAAGATATTATGGTACCTCTTTACATGAGAAAAGGAGACATACAATGTTGGACGAACTATCAAGAGATCAAACTTATAACCTATACCATGTAGCTTTGGGAGAGAGTGATTGAGTAATGACTACGACATGAAACCAGTGTTTTGAAAAATCAGTTTGGTTTTATGCCAGGGATGTCAACCATTAATGCCATTTTCTACTTAGGCAATTTATTGAGAACTCTAGGGATATAATTTTGATAAGCATACAATAGGGTACCTGGAGAATTAATTTGGTGGGTGTTGGAAAAGAAATGAGGATCTAGAGGGATATGTTCGAGGGAGCACTAACTACTCTGAGGACAACAAGTGGAGAGACAAATGAGTTTTCATTGACAATAGGCCTACATAAGGGGTCATCATTTGCTTTGGTTATGGAATAGGTAATAAGAAATCTACATTATGAGGAACCGTATTCTATGTTGTTTGTGGATGACATATGACTTTGATGAGACTAAAGATGGTGTCAATGCAAGCTTAGATCTTTTAATCTAAAGGCTTTCAAATTAGCTAGACTAAGATAGCATCTATAGAATGCAATTATAGTTATGCTAGGAGTAGAAACAAGGAGTTAAGCTTGGTGGCCAAGAAGTACTTAAAAGATATTAGTTTCAATATCTTGGGTTGATGACCCGTGAGAATGGATAGATCGATGAAGATGTCGCATATAGAATTAGAGTTTGGGTGGACGAACTGGAGATTTTCTTATGGAGTCTTATGTGATTGTTGCATGTCAATGAAACTTAAGGGAAAGTTCTATAGAATGGTTGTAAGACCAGCTATGCTTTATAGGACAAAATGTTGCGCAATTAATAGCAACATATTTGTAGAATCAGCATAGTTTAGATGAGGATGTTGAGATGGATGAGTGGTAAAGCAAGAAATGATATAATTTAAAATAAACTCATCCAAAGGAAATTAGGGGCAGCTCCAACAGGTGATAAGATGAGAGGATGTGGACTTAAGTAGTTTGGCCATGTGCAGCATCAACCTAGAACAACATTGGTTAGGAGAGGTTATTTGATTCAAGTGGAAGGCTCTAAAAGGGCAAAAGAAAGGCTCAATAGGATTGGGATAGAAGTAGTGAGAAGTGATATTGTGACTTAAGGTCTGGCTCAGGTATGATCTTGATACAGCGGGATGGCGAAATACTCAGATGATGTTGATGGTGATGATGATGTCATAATGCATCATTGTATTTAATGTTTATCTTTTACATTTATGTCGTTGCAAACTTACAAGTATCCTAGGAGTATGCGGTATCGATGACGAGGTCGTATCATGTTGATACATGTTTTTTTATGCATATACTAGAATGTGGGTGACTTTGCTAGTGACATCTTGGAGATGTTCGCTATCGCCTTTTGATGAGCTTTTTATTAGAGTTTCTAGAGGTTTGCAGCTGGATGTTTCCTACTTTCAAGAAGTTCAGACGCATGGTTTGCTGAGCATAATACCTTGTAATAGTTTTTAATTTCAATGCCAAATAAATATTTTAAAGAACCCGAAGCCTTTATATTGCTGATACCACTCACCTATCACTTTCATCTCAACAAATATAGCAAGTCAAAGATATACATGTCCTTGATTGCTGATAAGAAGTGAATGATAAGCACTACTCTCCTGTATCCATTCTCAAACAAAACCTTTTTTTTTTTAAGAAAATCTTGGTATTGAACTTTTACTTCCTTCAAACCATAAATTTACGTTCTTCAATTGACAAAATGGGTGCTCCAATTATATTTTAAACACAAAAATATCTGTGCATTTCCAGTATTCTGTATGCATGTATATATGCATGCATGTGTGTATATATGTCTGTGGTAATTCATAGTAGAACAATGGAGCTTTTTGTATCTTTAATTAAAAAATAAATTGGTAAAGTAACTTTTTGCTGTGTGAACCATGTTGACAGAGTCTGTTCCTGTTTCAACTTTTCATGGATTTGCTGTTGCAAAGGGTGCTCGATTCGCCTGGAAAAACCTCGCTGCCTTTGTAAAGCAGTGAAGAAGCCAAGATGTTTATGTCGATTGCCATCTTGTCGATCTTGTTGTAAGGTTCCTTCTCTTCCTCGCCCCAAATGCTCTTCTTGCTGTGCTTGTTCTTTCTCCAAATGTACATGCATATTTTCTTGCCCAAATTGTTGGTTATGCTAAAGAAACTCTCTCTCTCTCTCTCTCTCTCTCTCTCTCTCCCTCTCATGTTACTTATATTCCAAACACTCTTTTGCTTATTCTTTTATTACTATGAACTGCTCTTGTATAGATCTTGCATAATCTAGTTTTCCATCAGTTATTCCCTTGTAATGTACTTGTGCCATTCCATGAATAACAAGAGCCTTATCAGAGACTTTTTGAACAGTCATAGACCCTCACAGTCAAGGGTGAAGAACACGCTGAAACCTAAATAAGTCTCCATTTATTTTATTATTATTATTATTATTGTTGTTGTTGTCATTGTCGTCGTCCTTATTGTTTATGTAATTGAGCCTCCAATTTATCCTTAGTAGAGAAATAATTTCTTTTGGAACGTAATTTGTCAAAATTAGAAAACTAACCTTCTATAAGAAAGAGAATGATCTTCCTAAAAGCGAAAAAGGTCTCTCTCTAAGTTGGAATGGTATGGTTTGCAATAGGGATTGTTTGCAATGTGCATTCATGCAATGAACCTCATACTTTGAAGCTTTGTCCGTATGTGTGCGCGTGTGAGAGAGAGTCTTGCACTGAAACGGTAAAAGCTTCACGATTTTTTCTGGGATAATTTATTAATATAAGATCTTTTTGACTTTGGGGAAACCTACCTTCAAGCTTTTGGTTTTGGAAAATTGAGCCTGAGAAACAAAGGTAACCAGTAATGCAATAGCCAGTTTTGAGTGGCTCGGACCGCTTCCGACTTTTTTCATGTTTTTCTTTTCTCCACTTTTGATTATAATTTTTTCAAATAGACATTTTTTTTTTTTGTTATTGTTGCTCAACTTAGATTTTCTTTGATTTTTTTTCTTTGAAGTCATTTATCAAGAAAGGAGAAAAACTTTTTCTTTGATTCTGAAATGAAGGGGACGGACCGTATTCGCATTTAAGGCAATGCCATCCAAATACTCAGTACTGGAATAAATGGTTGGTTGGGATTATTTGTTCTTTCAAATTGTTGACATTTTAAAATTAATTAATGCATTAGTCAAAAAAAGGCACGGGTGGGTTTCAAAAGTTGTCATTTCTGAGTAAGATCTGATCGTTACCAAACTCAAATGGTTCTATGAATATGGTCAAGTTTCCTGTATTAAAGTTATATGAAATAACATCTTTCTGTTGAATTTAATGTAACATGAATGTAAGTATGCATGTGGTCAAATTTACCTGTATTAAGGCTATTTGAAATAACATATTTTTTGTTGAATTTGAAGTGACATGATTGTATATTCAAAATGGGTGGAAAGCAGGTATTTAAATTCAAAACTAGCCCATGGCACGTGCTTTGCAGTACGCCAAATTAATTTTTTTTAGTTATTTAATTTAAATAAAGAATATTGTTTTTCTTGTCTATTTAATTTTGGGGCTCGTATTTAATTTTTTTTTATGATTGTTTCATTTTCTATCCAGTGTTATTTAAATTCGTTATATCTAATTTTATTTCATATATCCTGATTCCTTTTAACTTTTGAGATTACCTATATGTAATTTGATGGGATATTTTATTTTAAAAGAATTCCTATTTTAATTTGAATGGATCTATTGAAATCTTATTTTGAATAGTGATTACTACATTTTTTTTTTTTTGCAAGAATTCCCATTTGAGTAATGGAATTTTGGGATTTTCTATTTTAACTCGAAGAGCTATGTGATTTCCATTTTGCTACGAATTGTTACTTTTATTTCTGTAAGAAATTCTCATTTGAGGACAGATTTTTAAGGATTGGAAGGGAAAAGGAATTGTGGATGCAGTTTTGACATTCCCACTCATACTTTCTCCCTTAATAATATAGGGATTTCGCTTGAAAATTTTTGGGTGCGATAACAATCGAAAATAGGCTATGATAACAATCGAATAGTTTATTATTGAGAAATAAATAAATAAATAGGGCTGTGAAATTTAAATTCTATTTAAATGGAATCATTTTCTTTTCAAAATTTCAAAATTAAGCCCAATTCAAATCAAAATAAGAAATATCTCTTCGTAATTAGGAATCCTACCAATCAAAAATACGTGTTGCCAATCTAAACCCAATGCTCCAACTGCTAGTGATATGCTTAATTAAATCTTCTAAAATATTTATTATTAGTTTTTTTTATGTATTTCTTATTGGTTCTTAAATATTTATAAATGGAAAACCCTACGTAACACCTATAAGTAAAAATGAACTGTATTTTCATTTATAGGCTCGCCACCATCTGATTTTTTTTGGATGGTGGGGAAAAATCGACTTTAATTTTTCATGTTAAATCGAAACGGACCTATTGTGTCCGTTAGGCGAAAACACTATTCACTTCTCCTATAGACGTTGGAAAGTGTTTTCCTTTATAAATGCTTATTCTTAGTTCTCTCTCCTATAGTTGTGAGCATTCGCCCTGCCTCGGTAACTTCTCTTTTTTATCTTTTTGTGCCTATGCACTTACCCAATATATATGATTGTCTACATTTGACATGAGATCCTGCTTACATTACAAAATGGAGAAGCTTAAATCTCTAAATAGTAGACAGTGCTGTAGTTTTACATGCAGAGAGAGAGAGAGTCCTATTGAAGCTTGCAATCCTTTTATTAAGCGGAGAGAGAGAGAGAGAGTCCTATTGAAAGCTTGCAATCCTTTC